TATGACTCTATCAATGCGGATTGCTTTATCAGTTGGGACCTCGGGTAAAAACAAAATTGTGTGGTTATTGGCAAAATATTAATTAGAGATATCAAAATTATGTCTGAATTTACACTCACATCACACATGTTAATGCTCCCATAATGTTAGTCTTTATTGCAGAAGTTTTATTTAACATAAATTTTGGCGAAAAGCATTGTATTTCCTCGAAATAAATTTCTTCCTGTGGTTTAGTTTGAAACCAATCAGGTCTTGTCTTTGTAGGTCTTTGAAATTGAAAGGCGAGTAGCATGGGAGTATCAATTATCAGAATGATGGGTCCAGTTCTTTAGGATGCTGACAAGGTAATATTACCAACCCAGGTTTCCTTTCAAATTAAACAGCATTTTCATGTGGTTCGTCAGTAATGCTGTCGAAGATGGAGGTCAATGATTCGACAGACCTCCATTGATGAGCTAGGTCGAGCTTCAGAGAAGATTCTAGAGACAAGAGGAATTGGGGAAAATGAATTGTATATTATCTCATGTTTGTGTAGTGTATATACACGTGTGTCTAAGAGGAAAATGAAAATGTGATTAAGTATGACTACTAATTACAAAAATGCCACTCTAACTAACTCAACTGCATAGCTAACTAACTTAGCTACATGATTAACTAACTCAGCTATACACATATAAATATTACATCAATTATTCTCAATACCCCCTCAAGTTGGAGGTGAGGAACTCACTGCCAACTTGCTGAGAAGATAAGAGTGCTTGACTCCTGCAAGAGCCTTTATTAAGATGTCAGCCAATTGAGCAGAGGTGGAAATATGATGTAGTTCGACTAGCCTATCTTGTATCTTGTCCCGGACAAAATGACAATCCACTTCAATATGCTTTGTCCTCTCATGGAACACAGGATTTCTTGCAATATGAACGGCTGCTTGACTGTCACAAAATACAGTTATAGGATTAGTACACATGGCTGTCAGCTCTTCTAGTAATCTTTTTATCCATACCAGCTCACCAACAACTTTCCTAATTGACCTATACTCTGCCTCAGCAGAGGATAGTGAGACAGTAGTTTGTTTTTTTGACTTCCAACTAATAGGACTATCCTCAAGTAACACAATGTACCCACTCACAGATTTTCTTGAATCAGGACAGGCAGCCCAATTCGAGTCACAGTATGCACTTACAGTATAGCTAGGGTCATTGGACAAGAATATTCCTAAAGTAGGATCTTTTTTCAAGTATCTAAGAACATGTACAGCAGCCTTTAGGTGAGGTTCCCTTGGTGCCTGCATAAATTGGCTCAGATGCTAGGCACTATAAGCTATGTCCAGTCTTGTGTTTGTTAAGAAATTTAGCTTCCCAACTAACTTCCTGTAGTACCCTGGGTCAGACAACAAGGTTCCTTCATCATTTCTCAGTTTGATGGTAAAATCAAGTGGAGAGCTAACATGGGAGTATGTCAAGCAATCATACTCCTTCAGCAGGTCCATAGTGAATTTTGTTTGACAAATCAGTACTCCATCTCCCTTGTACAACATTTCTAGCCCCAAGAAGTAGTGTAACTTTCCAAGATCCTTTATCCTGAATTGATTGTGCAGGAAGGCTTTCAATTCTGTGATTTCCTCCAAGTTGGTACCAGTGAGAATTACATCATCTACATAAACAGCCACAAAGACTGCTGAGTTCCCTGTTTCTTGTAGAACCATGAGTAATCACTAGTTGAATGTTTGAAGCCCCTAGAATGTAAGGATTCTGTCAATTTATCATACCACTGTCTGCTAGCTTGTTTTAGACCATATAGTGACTTCCTAAGTTTGCACACTAGATTCTCATTAGGTACCATTAAACCTTGTGGAACCTCCATGTACACTTCTTCATGTAGATCCCCATGAAAGAAATGCATTATTGATATCTAGTTGGTAGAGATTCCACCCTCTATTCACTGCAATGCTGATTAGTGTTCTGACTGTGGTCATTTTTACCACTGGTGAGAAAGTCTCTATGTAATCAATTCCTGCTTCTTATGTGTATCCCTTCACCACTAATCTTGCTTTGAATCTTTCTACTCTTCCATCTGCCTTGTGTTTGATCTTGTATGCCCATTTGCAGCCTATAACTTTATTTCCTGCAGGTAATTCAACTAGATCCCAAGTATGGTTAGCATATAAAGCTTCAAATTCCCGTGTCATTGCCATTTGCAAAGCAGGATTCATAGATGTCTCCTCATAAGAAGATGGCTCACAATTATGTGAAATGTTTCTAAGTAATTGATGACTCTCAAGTTGTAAGACATTAAATGAGACATGTTGTTTATTCTTGCAGATTGCATTAAAAGATGTGGGAATGGTGTGATGTTCAGATTCTGTGTTTTGATGTTGAAGAGTTGGTAAGGATTACACATAGTGTTTGAGATGTATAGGAGTAGTATGGGTTTTGCCTGATCTTCTGGGATTTGGAGGATTTATTTGAAGGTTGTTAGACTCAATGATTTGAGGGTCAGTGGACTGTGCCTGTGTGGATGGCTGAGAGGCAGGGTTATTGGACCGATTAGGTGTTATTGAACTAGATGGAGAAACTGGTGAACTAGGTGGAGGAATAGGTTCAACAGTATCAGTTATAGGTCCATCGGTGACAGAAATTGATGCATCTTTATCATACATGCCATAATCATTTGACTCCCTAGATGTAGGAAGAAAACAGGATGGATTGGAATTTATTAGATGCAGCACAGAAGGGAAATTAGAATGTACAGGAGAAACTGCAAAAGGAAAGATATTTTCATGGAACACTACATCTCAAGATATGTGTATCCTCTCTGTGGCTAAGTCTAGGACCTTATAACCTTTTGTACCAAAGGGATAACCTACAAATGCATGAGGCCTATCTCTGGTTCAAACTTGTCTCTGTGAGTTTTCTGTGTACAGGGATAGCATAGGCAGCCAAAACTCTTGAGTTGTGAATATTTGGGCCTTCTATTGTATAGAAGTTCATAGGGGCTTTTGTTTAAGAACAGTGGATGGAAGCCTATTTATTATATAGGTAACTGTCAGGATGCACTCTTCCCAGTACTTTATGGGTAGCTTGGACTGGTAAAGAAGGGCTCTTGCTGTTTCAAGTAGGTATTTGTGTTTTCTTTCCACCACACGATTTTATTGTGGTGTGTATGGACAAGTTTTCTGATGTATTATGCCTTTTTCTTGAAAGTATGTCATGGTTTAATTGTTAACAAATTCTAGACCATTGTTCTAGGATGCGAACTCAATCTGGATCGGAGATTATGAGCTGAGCTCTGATACCATGTCGAAGATGGAGGTCAATGATCGACAGACCTCCATTGATGAGCTAGGTTGAGCTTCAGAGAAGATTTTTCTAGAGACAAAAGGAATTGGGGAAAATGAATTGTATATTATCTCATGTCTGAGTAGTGTATATACACGTGTGTCTAAGAGGAAAATGAAAGTGTAACTAAGTGTGACTACTAATTACAAAAAATGCCACTCTAACTAACTCAACTGCATAGCTAACTAACTCAGCTACATGCTTAACAAACTCAACTACACACATATAAATATTACATCAATTATTCTCAACAAATGCAGCAATCATTACTGACCTGAAACCTCAAACCTTTTAATTGATTGCTGATAATTGGACTTCATTTTTCTTCTTGTTTACTGTCATTGTCATTTGTCAACATTAGGGATCCGTTTGGCCATAAATTTTTGCCAAATTGTTTTTTTGCAAATACATGTTTGTTAATAACTTTTATCCATATTTTGATAAATTTCCAAAATCCAAAACTCAAATTCCAAATCTTGACCCAATATAATACTATTACATTTTTTAAAAACTGCCCCAAACTTTTGTATTTTATAGAAGAGCTCACCGTTTATTATTTTGTAACAATGTTGCTTCGTCTTCTCGATCATCTGATAATGTATTATGTAGTTCATTATAAAAATGATAATTTTGTACCAAATTTATTTATGTTCGGGACTATGGTTTGTGATAAGCCATGTTTCATGTTTTTTCAAAAAAAATGTGAAATATGTTTTGAAAACTGATGTCCAAACACATTTTTATCTTCAAACCAAACTTCAACCAAATCAGATTTTTCAAAACAAATTTGGGAATCTATGGCGAAACGCTAGCTAGATATCTTAAATTTCGATGATTTTCATCTGAAAGCTCAACTTGTGAGACACTGGTGCTTAGCTAGGGCTTTGGTCTAGTGGTAAGATTACAGCATGTGATTTGTGTTTTAGGCAAACGATAGGGCTTTGTCTGATAGGGTTGTGTCCTAGACTGCTAGTGGTTATTGTTATGTCCACACTTTTCCTCCACTTTTCATAGTACGAAGCCTGTCTTACGTGTTACTGTTATTGCTTTTCATCTATTTTCTGGTACTTATGATGCTGTTGTTATTTCTGTGGTTTCTGTTGTTGGTACTGATATATTTTCTTTTTCGTCTCCTTGACCTGATGGTCTATCGGAAACAGCCTCTCTACCCCTTGGGTAGGGGTAAGGTCTGCGTACACTCTACCCTCTCCAGACTGCACTTGTGGGATTTTATTGAGTCGTTGTTGTTCTTGCACATGATAGCGCTTCGAATTCTGCTGCAAACAATAGCGTGGTATTTAAATGATGAAGGATAAAAGGGTGGATCCATTATCAATCGAGTTACCGAGTTTTGAACTGTTAGCCACTAGTCCTTGGAAAATTCTCAGTTATAAAGAGAGCGTAATAGTAGAGTGGGTCTATAGATTGTACCCACAGGATAAAAGTCTCTAATGTTAGCTAATGTAATACAGTCAGCTAATTGATATTGTTCTTCTTTATTTGAGTTGGGTTGGGCAGTACCGTGTAGGACACAGTCACTAGCTTGAGATTACAAGCAAATGAGCAAAAACATTTTTTTTTTTGCAGAATATAGAAAGCAAATGGTCTCTATGTACTAAGCATAATGAAAAGTAAAAACATTTTGATGCTCGTCTTAACAAGTCAGCTAACAACTAACAATCTTTTATAGTGGACAAGTATATACAATGTGTAATTCTTCTAATTTATTCATTTCAATAAAAAATAACAAATACAACAACAACCAAATTAAATAAATACAATACAAATTAAAAATTTAATAATTATGCAAGAAAACCAATGCGCGCGCACACACTTAGATGACTTGATTAAGCATCCAATACATCAGAAAATCAAGTTGCTTTAGTTAATGTCTTGATTGCAACATTTGGTGCGCGAAAGAGGGGAGTGATTTCCACGGTGAAAGTGTCATATCTCAAGAAAAACTCCACCAACATTAGTCTGCCCAATAGATGTACCAAGTCTTTTCCTGCACATTGCTTATTATTTGGTGCTGGATTCTCTGTTTCCCTTCCATTAGACCAAAGAACATGTTTGAGCATTTTCTCTCCTTCACCCAAGAATCTATCAGGAACAAACTCATCAGGTTTGTCGAAAATCTTGGGATCCCTACTAGCCATGGGCTGATATCCAACGACGAACTGCCCTTTCTTAATCATGTAAGATGCATCATGGCTCTGGACTATGAAATCTTTTTTAGCTTTACCGTACTGTAATGGCACTGGTGGACGAAGCCTCAACGTTTCATAGACTATGGACTTGACCAAACTCATCTTGTTGATTGCTGATAATGTGACTGCCCCTCCTTCTTCCTTAATAGCTGTCCTGATTTCTTTAGCAAGTCGAGCGTGTAGAGTAGGCCCCGATTCGCCCACAAACCTAATCAGATGAGGAAAGAAAGTGTTCATGTGAGAAATTTATATAGGACTCCATGATTGAGTAGTAGCAGTCGGTGGTTAAGCCTATGATCAACTTTCACAACCGTTAGTTACCATGTTTTCAAGGAACATTTACACGACAGTTATTTTTGTGTTAACTAGGGTAGATGTTTGATCTCTATTAATAAAGAAAGTTACCTGTCCCGGGCTAATAGTTAATGCGTCTTACTTATCCCACACATAAGCAAAGTAACATGTTAAATAGTCCTATATATCATTAAATTAGGATTAGAACTTATATTTTATTTATTACTTGGATCGTATTTTCCATGTATGTAATCAATGATTATAATACACTAGTGCTATATTTGTTATCTAGGGAAGGAATATATATCTCATTCCCCCGGCATATAATCAAATTAGGATCAAGCCTTGTCTTTTATGTAGAGTCCATTACTTACATGGTCACTCAACTATCCCAAATTATCTCCTAAAGTCACTTTACTTTCGTTTGTAACAACAAAGTCACTGAGCTATGCCTATTGCACTTAGAAGGTCACTCAACAAGATTTTCCAAATTTTGGATTGCCAAATACCTATTTTACCCTCTAAATTATAAACATTTATCTTCTTTTTATTTTTTTTAAACTTTTTAATAGTATGATTTTCCCTTTTTAATTTATATTATGGACTTACCTATAGAATAAATAAATATTATTTATAAATTAAAAAAATAGAAAGTATTTAAGCATATATATAATGCCGGAATAACAAAATAATGAGCATAGTAAAAAAAATTAATTAGAATAATTTGTTAGTAATAATAATTTTAGTATTAACAACATAAATTCAAAATTTATTTACACAATTCAGAATGAAAGAAAATAAAGGTTGTAAAATAGATATTCCATACATGTAATATAAAAATAATTAATTAAATAAAGGTATTTTTTTAATATACATTATATATTCTTGAAAATTATGCTCAATTATATTATTATGTTTCTACCAACTTTCCGACGACACAAAGTTATATCACCCGAAATTCATTTTGAATTGTGTAAATAAATTCTTGAATTTTTGTTGTTAATACTAAAATTATTATTACAAACAAATTATTCTAATTAATTCTTTTACTATGATCATTATTTTATTATTCCAGCATTATAGATGCTTAAATACTTTTTATTTTTTTAGTTTATAATTAATAATTATTTATTCTATAGGCAAGTCCATAATACAAATTAAAAAGGGAAAAACATAATATTAAAAAGTTTAAAAAATAAAAAAAGATAATTATTTATAATTTAGAGGGTAAAATAGGTATTTGGCAATCCAAAATTTGAAAAATCTAGTTGAGTGACCTTCTGAATGCAATAGGCATAGTTCAGTGATTTTGTTGTTACAAACGAAAGAAAAGTAACTTTAGAAGATAACTTGAGATAGTTGAGTGACCATTTGAGTAATTAACTCCTTTTATATATAACTAACTACTACCTATTTCTGGATGTAACTAATTAACGTAAGTCCAAATTTCAACACTGACCTGATGAGATGAGGGAAGAATGCATTCAAGCCGGCAAACATATTAATTCCTACGAGAAAAAGTATGTTATGTACAGCTTCCTCTCTTTTGATCCCAAGTCTCTCAGCTTCATCTAATATGGACCCAGCATTCTTGCTAAATGCATCAACAAGCTTGCTGTAATCATTTTTAATGAGACCAAATGGTATCAGGAAATTATGGAAGAGCAAATCTTCTATAAAGCAAGGAAGTTTTCTCGCACTCAATGATGGAATGAGCTGAGGAAAAAGCCATTTGCGAAGATGTTCTGGTCCTTGAGCGCCAAGAACTGTATCAGACGGATTAGTCTGGTCACAAAGCAAGCGAAAAATGAAACCAAACGTCATATTAGGAAGAAGTGCATTGAAATCTGACTTCCCCTGATCAGAAACCTGTTTTTCAAGATTTTGAAAGAGGTGATCAGACACTGAGTTTCTGAAAAGGGGAATGAATAAGTTATGTCGCTTAGCGAATGAAGTAAGAATGTAGTTTTTCAGAGCAGCGTGGTTAGGGTCAGAAGTATCGATAAAAGCAACAGGACGATAACCACCGTAGTACTCTTTACCAGGCTTGAATGTACCACCTAGAGTATCAGTTTTGTCAATGAGAGAGTTATCAAACATATAGACAAAGCTGCTGGCATCTAGAAATGCCACCAATTTGTAGTCATTAGAGGTGAAAGGCCCTGGTGCCATGTTGATTTTGACAACAGTGGATTTGTATTTTTCAGCTTTGCTATGAAACCAAACATCTTCACCTTGTTTGTAAAAGTAATCGTATCGATCTTTAATGGCGCTGATGATAGGGAAACCATAGTCACCTGGGATTTCACGTACTGGAAGATTATTTGATGATACTAAAGAGGAAGACATTTTTGGTGTTTCTGTTTTGTGTATATTGGTTTAGTGAGTTAATGAAGATGCCAGCTGATGTATTTATAAGTACTACGTTAGAAGTAATGTCAAAGGTTTTAGTCTACTTAGTACAACAGCAATTTACAGGCGGCTAAAGAACGTTGAGTTATTCAAGTAAATTGAATTGAGAAGTTTGATTATTCAGAGCAACTAGAACAAAAACAAATACTAGTGCTTTTGTACTACGTAGCCATTTGGGGCTCCAGTTTTGGGTGAAGTTGTTTGATTATCATGAGCTTTTAGATTAGTCGTAAAGCGCCTAACCTTGGATAGATGTTAAGTCCTTGCATTTTTTATTTTCAAATTCTAATTAAAATTAAGTACTATTCCCTCCGTTTCTTTGTACTAATCCTCTATTGACTAGACATGCTCTTAAGAAATTATTTACTATTGAGGATTTATTTTACTAAATTGCCCTTGTTAATAAATATTGAAGTTGTAACTCCTCCAATAAGTTTAGCTAGCGTTTGGACATAGATTTGGTTGAAACTTGAAAAAAGAGTTTTTGAAGTTGTGTTGAAAAATAATTTTTGGAAGTTGAAGTTGTATTTCGACATGCATTTTATTTGGAAAAAACTTGAAGTTTTGTGAGCGGAAGAAAAAAATTCACCAAAAAACTTCCCTAAACCAATTCTTGGGAACTTGAAAAAAAAAATCAATTTTTTTTTAAAATTGATCATGTTCCATAAACAAACAGTATTTTCAAAAATAAAATTAAAAAATATAGCCAAAATCTATAACCAAATGGGTGTTAAGGAAGTTGGATACTTGATACTAAGAATAATATTGAAAGAAAATAATAATTCTTAATTTGCTAAAATGAATAAATAAAAGAAAAAATTATTTTTAGTATACGAGGTCAGTAAAGGGAACGGGGGTATATTATTGTGCTATGAAATTAGCAAATGGAGCTTCAATAAGTAGAAACTCCAACAAAGTCTCGGGAAGACAAATTAAATTGCAATATCTATTTCAGATCATTTTTTATGATAGAGAAAACAACACTTGAATCATGATCAACCATCCTTTAGCTTTGGATCAATTCAATGGATAGTTGTCGTAATTTTTTTCTGATATATTCGTTTTCCACCATGAGAATAAAGTCGTATAATTCAGTTGTACGTTTTTTTGTGGTAATTTTTTTAGGGAGAAATTCAGAAATAGCTAGATTTACAAGTGGTCATTCAAAAATAGCTACAGTTTCAAAAGTCATCGAAATTTAGGCACTTTTCATGTAAAAATAAATTTGAACGAAAACACTGTTCAAAATCCGGAAAATATTCCAGTATAATATATTGGAACTCCAGTACAATATACTGGAGTTCCAGTATACTTTGCTGGAACTCCAGTATAATACTGGAGTTCCAGCAAAGTATACTGGTCCAGCATAATATGCTGGAAGTTCATACACAGGTGCTCGAATCTCCAGTATATTATGCTGGAACTTTCCGCGTGTTGGAGTTCCAGCATAATATGCTGGAAGTTCATACACAGGTGCACCGAACTCCAGTATATTATGCTGGACGGGTCTCTGTTACAGCAAAATAGTGACTATTTTTCAGTGAATTGACAAACGCTGACTATTTTTGAATGATCGGTCCGAAAACTGACTAGCCCGTGCTATTTTAACTTTTTCTGACTCTAGTTGCAAGGTACCTAATCATGGATAAACTTTAAGTTTAAGCCCTTTAACATTTTTTGACATGTGCTTTTTAGAATTAGTCTGTCATTCTGTTTTGAAATTAGGGAAACGAAACTTCAACAAGTAGATGTCATAGTAGAAAAGAAGACAATATGTTAACGTATGTCCTTGAGCTTTGTATCAGTTCCAATGGATTAGGATCAAGTAGTTTTTTTCTAATATATTCGTTTTCATCTCATTTTTAATGTTAAAGGTGTCGCGACTGATGCTTTGATATTTTCTTTAATTATCCTGGTGCTAAAATACAAACTTTAATTTGACGGATAATATATACAGAACCAATGAATTATCCATCAAAACAACTAATCTCTTTCTATTATTCTAGTATTGTGGAGAGATTATGATAGGATGAGCGCGAGCCACGTTTGTGTGAGAGATGGAATTCATCGAAATTTCTCAACTTAAATATAGTTAGTTGAAATCTTTTTAAGCAGATTAAAAAAGAAAAATAAGACACATGAATTAAGGATCGAATGGAAATGCATGAACACAGAAGGAGGTGATTATGAAAATTTTGCGTCCGCTAATCACACTTGTCAAGAAGAGAACACCTTCACACAGCTTGTATTGCTTGTGCCACACAGAAAGTAAAATTTCTCACACCAATTAATGAACGGAAAATGGCCAAATATATCTCTCTATCTTTCTTTATTATTCAATCATGTCCTCCGTTATACTTTCCGTTCAAATATATCCCTCCCGTCCATCAAAGTTTTATATTTATCCTTATTTTAACGCCCAAGACACGTGGCAGCATTTAATCAAAAGATCTAACCCACAAAATTAAAAAATTCATACCCAACTAAAACCCATGATCAATAGGACCCATCCCCTCTTAAAACACCCCTCTTCTTCTTCTCAAAAGATCCAACAGTCCAAAAAAGGATACTCGAGAAAATCAACATACTTTTGGTTTGTCCAGGCAGATCATTATCAAAATATGTAGCTATATGAAATTGCAATAATGTGTGTCGCTGCCCAAATCGAATCAGAACACCTAGAGTTGTTGTTTCCTTTCAAATGGTTCTGGCATCTGCTCCAGGTCATTCTCTTTTTCTTTTGAAGCTTATTCAGTAACCATTTCCATGCCATCTATTGAAATTTTTGGCTGCTGCGCAGCACAACCACCTCTATGCTTCAATCCACAAATTTAATAGTTTACCCACTTATAACTTCAGTAATAGTGATAAACATATGCTCTGTAATTCAATCATTACAGCTACTTTTTCACCCCTTCATTGCCACCATGGATTCTCGTTCTGGAGGAAAAACTGTTAAGAATTGGTGAAAGAGATACGTCGTTGGTCCTTACAACACCACTGCCGCCGAAACAACAGGCGTTTCCCGATAGCCCTAGTTGTCTCACCGGCCATATTTTTCCAATGTTGCGTACAATTATTCTGGCGCTGCCAAGACTCTGAATCGATTTTTAGTTCCGACTCGTCTGCTTTTTCCTCCTCCAATAGTGTCACGATCCGAATTTCCTACCATCGGGACCGTGATGGCGCCTAACATTGTACTCGCTAGGCAAGCCAACGTTGCTGAATAATTCACCTTTTTTTATCTTATAATAATTAAAGCTCAACAAAAGTAAATAAGCGGAATTAAGTGCGGAACAATACAGTTTAAAAGATTATCTTGGTACTAATAACAAAATCGTAATAAATTCCACCTAGAACTGGTGTCACAACTCACGAACAGTCTACGAATACTACAAATAAGGGTCTGAACAAAAGTTTACATCTGTCCCGAAAATAGATAAAACAGAAAATGAAAGAAAATAGAAGGGGACGTCAGGGCCTGCGGACGCCTGCAGGACTACCTTGGGTCTCCGAGAAACAGCAACAGTAACCAACCTCGCGATCAGCCACTAGCTCCAAAATCTGCACAAGTAGTGCAGAGTGCAGTTTCAGTACAACCGACCCCATGTACTGGTAAGTGCCAAGCCTAACCTCGACGAAGTAGTGACGAGGCTACGGCGGGGCATACACATATACAACCTGCAACAGTTTATACTAAACAGAAAGGAAATACAGATTGTAATAAAGTAATAACTGGCATTAAGTAATCTCGGAACTCAAATGTTCTATTAATATTCAGCTATAACCAATCCTTAAGGGTGTTTCAACATCACAGTAATGAATTCAGCAAAAATGAATACTTAAAACAACAACTGATGCGACGCGCATCCCGATCCAATAATATAAACAAGAACAGTATCAATATTCACCCTTATTCCTCCTTGTTGCGGCGTGCAACCCGATCCCACTTGTCCACCCTTATTACTCCTTGTTGCGGCGTGCAACCCGATCCCACCAGAAAATCACAATTCACCCTTATTCCTCCTATTGCGGCGTGCAACCCGATCCAAATATATATATCAGCACCAAACACAAAGAATAAAGACAAGAGTTTCACAAGCTAACTCAAATCCCCCACATTACTCATACCTCAATCCACACAATGGGATATCACTATGATTATAAAACTTCACCAATAAAAACTACTCCACGAGACCAACCAAGGTGCACCATAAGGCACCAATGAATCAATATAAGCCAACTGGGAAATGAAGCTACAAAGCCAATGATACTTCAACGGCAACACCAACAGTTAACATGAAACAATTAAACAATTCAATAAAGAGAACAACATTTAACATGAAGCAATTAGACATGAAAACATTTATGAGCAAGTAGCAATTAAGGTAGGAAAACAAGATATAGGGAAACGGGGAAAAGAAATGGGCTAAACAAGTAATTTGGTGACGCATGGGTACTCGTCACCACACCTTTACGTCACACACATGATATTTCACATAGCAAACAAGACGGGGATCCCTAGTCCCTCAAGTCATGGTTAGACTAAATACTTACCTCAAGACAACGGGTATTTCAAAGCTCAACCACCGGTTTACCTCTCGATTCCACCACCAATTCACTCGTATCTAGCCATAATTAACTTAATAACATCAATAAACGCTAAAGAATTCTAATGCATGAGTATAGATTCCCCAATGTTTACCCCAAAAAGTTAAAGCCCGACCCTGGGCCCGCTTAATCAAAACTTGAAGTTCGGACCAAGACCCGATTACCCATTCACCCACGAACTCAAATATGCAATTGGTTTTGAAATCCGACCTCAAATTGAGGTCCAAATCCCCAAAATTCGAAAATCCTAATATCTTCCCAAGAACATCCAATTTCCCATGAAAAACCCTAGATTTTGAAGCGAAATCATGTAAAAAGATGAAATAGATTGAAGAAAAAGAGTTAAGATTCATTT